TATAAAGATGAAGAACCACGCACTAGTGAGTAGCAAAATCGTTGATTAATTATTGCATTATTTTCTTTTTTATTTTATGATGTTTTTTTAAAGTTTCGTGCAAGCTATTTAATTAAAAATAATCGTAGCTGAGATGCCGTACACATCACTGAATTATATTGTACACCTTTTTCCACAAACACATACACACATACATACACACACATGTAAACTTTAGGACTCGTACTTATTACATTTAAAAAGGATTATTCTCATTCATGGACGAACTTAACGCTATCGGAGTGAAATTCAATGAAAATGGAGAAGATCAAAGGATACTAAGAGTTTGTTGTTTTTTAAACAATTTAATTAACAAATATTATACATATATATATATATATATATATATGCATTTTTATTTGAGTAAAGTTTAAAGTAATCATTTTGATTCGTTAGAAATGACTTTTCTCTCTCTCTCTATTTCTCTAGGTGGTGTGCAGATTGAAAATTCATTAAATTAATAATAATTATTATTATTATCGTATTTTTTTTTGTATACTTACCACTTTTATTTATTTTTTTCACGTTAGTTTTATCTTTAGGAATACGAAATAGGAATATGTTTTTTTTTTAGAATTGAATGAAAAAAAGAAAAAATGTTGGAATCAAATTACTCGACATTACCAATTTTTTTCCAATATTTTTCCTTTCAAATGTTGTTTGATATTTTAATTAAATTAGTTTTCATTGAATTCGATTTTTCTTGTATATGATGTTGCCAAGAAAAAATATTACGTCGAGTAATTTGGTTGATAGAAAAATTTGGAAAAATGTATAAAAAAAAAGAAAAATGTGTGGAATGTATTAGGTGGTTCGAAGAAGACAAAAATTTCGTTTCGTTTTTTTTTTATTTTGTAAAAATGAAGATAATAATTTTTGCTTCGAGGTTAAACCTAGACCTTTCAAGTGATCATAAATAATTGAATTTGATAAATTTAACCTCTCATCGATCTCATGTGTTACCATTTGTTGGTTTGCATCAATTAATGCCATTATTGTGTCAGCAAACAATGAAACGATTTTCCAAACCACCTAATAAATCCTCCGATGTGCACACAAAGTTCGTCTAATTCTCTACGACGACTTAAAACCACCAATACATAAGAAAAAAAAAATTAATAATAATAATAAAACAAGAATAACGAAATAATCTCTCACACAACAAGTACACACGAAGTAACGAGCAAAAAAAAAAAATAATGGTATATATATATAAAAAAAAAAAAAAATTAACCAAAAACAATGATCGATCTTTTTGTACTATTGTCTTAGACACGCATAATTCCCCGTATGTAATTAATTAGTTCGATGATAATGATGGATGATAATGATGGATGATGATGATGATGATGATAAGAGAGGGCAGAAAAAATTTTTTTGCAAATTTGTCATAACTTGTATGTCGCGCGCCTATTATTCAAAAATAGTGAAGCTTCAAAAACGAACGAATAAAGGATTTGTGTTCGCCAAGGGATAATAAAATCATTTGGCAAAAAAAAAACAAAAAAGAGAAAAAAAAACCAAGAAAAAAATATGCAAACCATAAAAAATATCACTTACCTTTTATAATCACTCTTGTCTTGTCCTTTTTATACGAGTTTTATTTCATTCTATGTTTATTATATTTTTAATTTATTTACCTTGAACTCTATCCTGTTTTTTTTTTTTTTTTTTAAATAATTTCATTAATTTTGTAATAATTTGAATAATAATAATAATACAAAATTATTATTATTCCATTTTTTTGTATTTAATTTAAATAATTTTGTTTAAAATTAAAAAAGAAACATCTTTTTCAATGAATTGGTAGAAATGAAAAACAGGATTTTTAATTTTAATAGGGAAAATTATTGAAATATTTTCAAAATCAAATTGTATAAAAAAAAACGTGATACAAACAAACAAAATTAAAAAAAATAATAATAATAATTATATGGGTTCGCAAAAAAGTATATTAAATACTACATCATATCCACTTGAACTTTTGGCTATAAACCAAAATTTTCGTCTAGATTTTATTTCTGATAAACGATGTTTTTTTTCTTCTTCTTTTTTTTCTTTTTTTGTTTGTCTTTTTTTTTTTTTTTTAAATATTTCAAACGAAGACGAAAATTACAAACACAAATTAGGAGAGATATGCCGGTTGGTTTATTTTTTTATTTTTTTTTATTTTCCTTTCCCCCTTTTGTTTTTTTTTGTTTTTTATTTTTTTTTTTACTTAAATTCTGTGATCTTATGCATTCGTCGAGACTTTCTCATGTGGTAAATCGTTTTACGTATTATACTCTTTTTATTGTATGTATAATATCAATTATATACAAATTTTTAAAATTACCTTCAGCGTTTAATTCCTAATCACGTGCTACGATTCGATTTTACATATTTATTTATAATATTTATAATATTTATATATATATAATATATATAATGACGTGTGTAATCAATATTTCAATTTTCCATTAGTTCATTTGAATTTTATAAACATTTTTCTCTTAGTTGTGTAATTGTCTTTCACGTTGATAAACAAATCATTGATAAATTATATTTATATCTTTGACCAATAATTATATTTACAATATTACATTTTAGTTTTATGCAAAAATGTGCAATACAACAAGATAGAAGAAAAAACAATAATATCATCTGATTTGTTTAAATCAACACGAAAGACAAGACACTCCATGTGATTTTTTTTCTCTCTCAAAAAAAAAAAACATTTGTATTTGTATTATTTAAATTTGGTTTTTTTTTTGTTCTTCCTCAATTAAACAATGATATACAATTGTTTTCTTCACTCGTAGTCACAGTGATCGGGGGTAAAACGCTGCTGATTTTTTTTTAGTCATCCCTTGTTTTTTTTCTTCTTTTTCTTCCATAATTTAAATATACCTAAATTATTTTCTAATAAGAGTACGCTTTCCTATCGTTTTCCATTTTTTATTTGTTTTTTTCTTTTTTTTTTGGGTTTTTTTTTTGTTCTAAAAGTTATTTCCCCTCCGATGATTTTTTTCACGTATTTTATTTTTATCTTTTTTCTTCTCTTTCATCCCTCGTTTTTGGCAGTATTATTATTATTAATTATTATTATTATTATTATTATTATTATAATTATAATAATTATTTTTATTATTATTTTATTATTATTTTATTTATAATATTTAAATATTATTATTATTATTATTCTTATCATTATTACACGATCGATCATTAGATTTCGATTTATGTAATAATAAATTTAATAGTCGATTTGTTGATCTCAAAATATCGAGATCGTATGCCGTTGTGCTTTTATATTTTTTTTATTTTTTTATTTTAAATAAAACATTAGAACAAATAAATAAATAAATAAATATATAAATAAATTAGTAAACAATTAATTATTATAATTACATATCGATGAGAGTAAAATTGATTTTCAGTACTGACGGCAGTTGTTCGACTTTTATTTTAGTTTATTTTTTATTTTAATTTTTTTTTTTTGTTCATTTCACGAGATAATAAAAACGATTAATTATTTATTTAAACTTATTCATTTCTTCTTCTTCTTCTTCTTCTTATTATTATTATTATTATTTTTTTTTTCTTACTTCACATTGCTCCGATAATTCGTTCTGGTACGAGTGTATGTGTGTGATCATTATTTACCCAATAAGAGTAATTATCATTTGTCAGTCTATTTGTAAATGTGAAACAGCGAAAAAACAAAATGATGAAAATATGTACTTATGTACAAATATGTAATTTACAATCGGATTACATCGGATAACGCGTATTAGATAAAGATATGCTGTTTTTAATTTACACCAAACGAAAATTTCTCAATCTCTCTCAATCTCTCTCTCTCAATCTCTCTCTCTCTCTCTCTCTCACTCTCTCACGAGTCATCTAATTCTAAACGAATTCAAATCCCACTTTTTTTCTTATATTTTTTAATCATTTTTGTTTTGTTTTCTTCATCAAAAACCATCATCGTTCGAATGATTTCAGGAGTTGTATTTTTTGTTTGTTTGTTTTTGTTTTTTTTTTACAGCATTACGCGTAATTTTTTTTTTTTTTTATTTATTTCTTTTTTGTTATAATTTTTATAAGTCCGATTTAATCCACGCGTTTAATTTTCTTCTTCTTCTTTTTTTTTTTCTTTTTTTTTTCAATTCGCGTTAGAAAAACGCAATTTTACATTTACGATGCGATTATTATGTACAAAGTTTTCTTTTCTTTTATTTTATTTTTTTATTTTATTTTTTTCTTTCTTGAGTCCTTTTCTTTATTTTTTTTTTTTTTTTTTTTAAGAGAAACCTGCAAAGCCATGAAATATATCGTAGGACTTTGCATAAAAATCTAGGCGCGACTGTTGGAAAATGAATTCTAGGTAAAATATTTACCAGGTGTGTATCATCCGTGTAAATGTCTCTCTCTCTCTCTCTCTTTCTGTAAATATGTATGTGTGTGTGTGTGTGTGTGTAGGTGTGTATTTTTCGAGGAATAATAACACTGACAAAAATATCAATCCTCGGTAGTGAATTTCGACCCTTTAAAATTAGAAACCTGTTGTTGGTTACTAACCCGTGTTCCCATAGGACGAAATAGTTCAAACGAATTTACACGAATTTTTAAAAAGATTCAAATTTCATCCTGTCACGAAGGTGGTGTCTTTTTTTTTTTTTCTTTTTCTCCTACTACAATTTTATAATGGCAGATTAGACTTTTTTTTTTTTTTCTTTTCGTATTTCACTGACTACAAATTTGTTTCTTCGGCAGTTGGTCGTAAAGTATATTTTTTCTTTTTTTTTTTTAAATATTTCTGATTATTTTTTTAAAGGTAGAAAACAGTCGTTCGTTATTTGGCATAATCGACGTCAACTATTGACATATATTTATATAAATATTGTTAATAATTAAACGACGATGACAAATATACGTTTCTCATTTTTTACGCGCACAATTACATTTTTTCATCTCTCTTTTTTTTTTTTTTTAAATATCGCATGAAATTGTTAGTGTTTTTCAAAAAAAGAGATTTCATAAAATCCGAGCCGAATTTAATCGATAGGCCCCATTTTTTATTTTTTAATTTTATTTTATCGAGAGTAATTGTTCATTGAATGGATCCGTGGTGGTAATGGTGGTGGTGGTGGTGGTGGTGGTGGTGGTGGTGGTTGTTGTACGTATTGATAAGAGATAAGAAACTCCTAGAGTCAAACTCTTAGTTCTTCCATGATTTGTGTTTGATGATTGTGTCCTTTTTTCAATGTTCCAGCTGCCGACATTGCCAGACTTTCCTGTTGCAATTGATTAGGACTAATAATTAAATTTTGCGTTGGTTTTCCTGGTTTAGTATTTTTAGGAGGTGGTGGTGGCATCGGCACGTGACAACTATTGTTTTGCAGATCAGCAAATTCGGGTGGTGGTATGTGTTGTATGTGATGTCTCTCAGCATTTTTAGTTTCCAATTCGCCGCATATATTGTTAGGCATTTGTCCATTTTCTTGACGTTTCTTCGAACAACTGTGTTGATTACTTTTGTCACGTTGATAATAAACACCGGCAAATATTAAAACGTTTAAAATGAGAAGACTGCAACCGATTGCAATCGTCACACTTAGGGCAGTCGAGTAAGCTGCAAAACCGTCTTCCGGTTGACCTGTCGAATCTTCGAAAGCCAATTCGCTTGGTATTGCAGTTGAACCATTTTGTGGCCTATCAACGATCGTAACTTCCGATGTAGTTGTGCGTGCAGTTGTTGGAACTCTTTGGATGAATCTCGGTGGTACCTGAAATGTTCACAAATATCACACGTTCATTATTCAACATTTTTCTTATAAATACAATGATAAATATATTTGCAAATGAATGTACCTGTTCAGCATCTAAAAGATGATGCGACCTGGGAACATCATCGGTACCAGGTTTATGAAGATCGGGCACGAGATTCAACCAAAATGAAAGTCTATGTGCCCTGTAATGGTTCTTCAACTTTGACTTGAGTTCTGTAACACGAAACGAAACTATTTTTAATGCTTGTCGTTGGTCATCGAACAATAGGTGGAAGGACTCTTTGCAAATGAAAAAAAAAAAAAAAAGAAAAGATGGTTCCCTTTTCCCTTCCTTTGAAAGTTAGAACACACTCGGTTGGAACCACCTCAACGATGAATGCAAATTTCATGGGAACGTGAGGGGTAATTAATTATTGTCGTTGAACGATCTCGTGTGTTGCACTCGTTGGCAACGTTCACCTAGCATTCACCGAGCTTCAAACTTTGAAACTTCGACTTACTCCTGGTTGTAGTACGAAGGGTCGGACGAATTGGTAAGGGTCGGGCTTACTGTTAGAGGAAATGAGAGCAAGAGGAGGAAGACAAATGTGAACCTAGGAATAACGTATGTTACTACAAACGTGGAATGCATGTTACCAATGAACAAATGCTTTATTGTTCCCTATCAGTTAGTTGACTTCACTCAACGAGTGGTGTTTTCATTTTCATTTAAAACAATTATAAAAACATGTTCTAGCATTTAAGTGAATATTTAACTTACCTATACTGAGATATTTTTTGTGTACCGCTTCGTAAGCTGTCCAATCAATGTTCTTGACCTTCGTACGGTCTGGTCTCGATCCTATCGAACCAGGATCGAGTGTACCCTCGTTAGGATTACTGCGAATACGAATGAAAATATTTGTTTAGTTTAGTTTTGAAATATAAAAAAGTATTGCGATGTAATAAGCTTAAGAAAATTGTTTCTAGTTTCCTCGTCTAGTTTTAAATTTGTAAATCGATACGACATTGAAATGTGTGAACTTATGTGTGTGTGTGAACGTACCCAGTACGAGCGAAATTCGTCAGGTACAAAATAACGCTTTCGGATAAAGCGATTTCCGCTCTGGTGTAATTTTTCGGCCAATGTGCCAAGCCCCCCATTAAAGGTGCTCCAAAAAAATATGGCAACTCTTCGCCGTGTATACAGCCAGGTCTCTGTAAAGGAAAAGTGAAAACTCGTTAAAATGTTTGTAAAAAGAAAAAAATCAAATAAAATATCGTAGAACACGTTTAAATGGTAAAAGCTGAAACGTTTGGACACCTATGTGGTGCCAAACAACCATCTCTCTCTCTCTCTCTCTCTTTCTCTCTCTCTCTCTCTCGATCAATCGTTTTTTCCCTTAGAAACATTTTCAAATATTTTGTCAAAATAATTTTCAATCTCTATGCACACCACCACTCACCAACCCACCCACTTTTTTTTTTGTCAACTATTTTTATTTATTTACAGTACCATATCGTCGTATCTGTAATAATTTTTGTATTTATTTATTTATTTTGTTCATTGGATCGTTGTTAATAATTTAATTTGGAAATATGATGGAAAATAATTGATCAAATTTTTATAAATATCTATATATAAAAATTACGTGTTACGTTGTTTGTCCGCAATGGATTCCTAAACAACTGAACCGATTTTAATCAAATTTTGCACACTGTATGCAGTTTCATTCAACTTGAAAGATAGGATAGTTAATATCTCAATTTATAATTGCAATATTATTTTATTGCGAATCGGACTGATTGTGAGCCACAGCAACGCGTGACGAGGCACCCCTAGTATTATATAGGGTGAGAAATGAATATATTTTTGTTCTCTCTCTCTCTCTTTCTCTCTCTTAGTAAAATTTTGCCATCATCTTTCACAAGCGACACTCATTTTTTTTTCTTCTTTTTCTTTTTTTTTTTTTTTTATATATTTTTGGATTACGTGTCACGCAGAGAGAAAACGTTTGGGCGAGCGTTATCGATCCTTCTTCTCGTTCGAGAATTAATTCGAGACTCTGGCGAATACTTTCGAGCTTGTCTGCCAAACCGCACAGTCGATCAATCATCGCTGTCATCTTGCAAGGTCTAATATCGAAAAGAAAAAGGAATGGAACGTATAAGAAATAGAAGAAGAAGAAGAAGAAGAAGAAGTAGAAAGAAAAGAGAAAAGGTAGTAGAGAGGACAAAGTGGAGGACTAAGAAAAAATAAAAAAGGAAAAGAAAAGAATAGAAAAAAAAAGTAACGATAAATACAAAACTTTTCCCTATATATATATACATGTAGCATTCTTTTTGTTATTTTATTCTTAAACAGTGATTAAAGAAGAAGAAAAGAATAATTCAAAGCTAAGAAAAGAATAGAAAAAAAAAAAAGAAAAAAGGAAATTAAATGCACTCTTTTGTAGTTGTGTTGGAGAATTGCAGTGTACAAAACGAAAGATGAAGTTTGTGACAATGAGGAGGGATACGAGGATAGGAGGAGGAGGAGGAGGAGGATTGGGTTGGGTTGGGTTGAGAAAAGTCGTCGAAAAAACTACGCCATTCGTATTCCGAATAAGGTAAGAAAGTTTTTCACAATACCGATTGGGGGTAGGAACAATTATTGGGTCAGGAAGAAGTAAAAGGAATTGTGAAAGGATGCAAAAGGGGTGAACTTTCGTCTCACCTTTTTTTTTGATTGTAAACGTATAAACCAGTTTTGTTTTAAGTTAGAAGGGTTGTTGTTGTTGTTGGTGGTGGTGATGGTGGTGGTGGTGGTTGGTTGGTTGGTTGGTTGGTTCTTGTTGAGAATGAAATAGAGAAAAAAATAAAGTAAAAGGGATGGGGTTTAATACGTTTTCATTTAAAGGGGGTATGTTTGGCTGATGCAACGACAACAACAACGAACGACGATGAAGACTACGAAGACGACGACGACGACGATGTTCCACCTTTTCGAATGGACGAAAGCCAAAGCTATTCTCATGCAAAGTAGAATAATATAAGATAGTGTTTGTTTCAAAAGCAAAATGGCGTCTAGGAAATAAATGCTACCAGTTATAACGAGAATAGAGACAGAGAGAGAGAGAGAGAGAGAGAGTCTTAGTGTTGTTAATCGAAAAAAAAGAAAGCAAGAGAAAAAAAAATACGAGAATTAACGTAGTTTTGTTCGTGGAGAACTTCAAATTCACTTTTGTTGTGTAGAGTTTCATGAAATTTATTCACACATTGCCAATTAGAAATAAAAGATCATTTATTTGTAATAGAAACAATTGATTTGATTAGTCAATTTAATATACTATGCAATATATAATATACTAAATATAGTACTAGTATAATTAAATATAGTACTAATATAATACTTAATATATTAAAATATGCAATTTGGTTAATTGCATATTTTATTACTTTTTATTTGGTTATTTGCATTTAACCAAATTGAATATTTTTAGTATATTTATTTATTATTATACTTAGTATAATTTATTAATTTATAATAGTATATTTAAATATATTATTATAATTAATCGTATAGCATAATTTAGTATATTTATTAGTTCGAGATTTGGATAAGATAATAATAATAAAAAAAGAAGCAGAGTAAAGTGTAACGATATTAAAACTGGTGTATATGAAGTGAAATAAAGGTAACCTAAAGTAGACTAGTATAGATTGAAAATGATGATAAGCAAAAGAAGAGAATAATATTCGAGAGTCTTGAATAGGTAAGAATAAATGAAATGCAGAGAATAAAGGAAATTCCAGCTGGGAGGAATAATCATCGCTAAGGTGGGAATCGCGTATCGGAGAATCTTGGAAAAGCCGAGGTATCGTTCGTTCGTTGGTTGGTTGGTTGGCTGGTTGGTTGGGCCGGTGCACCATAGTTTCGGTATCGTAAATAAAACCGAAACTTTCAAAACCAAGGGGGCTTATTCTCTTCTCTACGTTCAATTATGTAACTACAACACCACCACTACTACCACTACCACTACCTCTGTACCAGTTTCCTTTCTAATTCGGGTTTTGCTGGAAGAAAAGCTGAAATGTATAATACTGAGAGAAACACATACACACAGAGAAAGAGAGAGAGAGAGACCCTAAGTAAATACGTAGTGTCTTCTATTTCTTCTTCTTCTTCTTCTTTTCATTGGTTGTATTCGACACTACTACCTTGCCCACCCCTTTTTAAGGGATGAGTATGTTTCCCCTTTCGTTTGATATAACAAACGAAAAGGAAACAAGATCACGATGAGAAAGAGAAATCGATTGAGAGAGGTGAGAAAACGAACCTACTTTTTTTTCAATTGGAACAAAACAAAAAAGAAAAGAAAATAAAAACAATAAGAAATTGCAATAAAAATCGTCAAATGTTTAATTTAGGATTATTTAATATAGATAATCAATTTATAATAATATTCCCTGTTGTGTACGCATGCACAACCTTCGAAATAACATATAAACATAGTTGAATAAATGAAACTTGCATAGCGATCAACGTGTTAGTTCGAAGGTAAATTCCGAGGAAGAAGGTACTCCGATCATATACTAGGTGTTTTTAAACAACAACACACACTTTTTTTGATTAATTAACCATTTTTTTTAATACTCTATTGAACTCTAGTAATATTTAATATTGTTTTTACTAAATTATCATTTTTTTTTAAAGGTTCCTGTACACTGATGATTATTTATTCGACAAAATACGACATCGATACATTTATTTTTAATTTGCATCAATATTAAAACATTTCTGATCATCAACAGATCATTATTGATGAATTAATTATTTGAGATGACCTTTTAAAATTTATCTATTGGTTTAATTTCTTTTCTTTTTGTTTTTTTTAGCAATCTCATTTTCATCAATGTACAGGTTTCGTTCGAATAAATGAATTTATATTTCAATTTATCTACCTGCGGATAGTCTCCGAATTTAGTTTGATAGTCGAAAACGTATAGATAGGAATTTCGATGAGATTGGCTGTGAAGATCTGCAGTTCTCGTAGCAGGGGCCACTGTATTAGCATCTCCAAGTGCTTCTAGTGTTTCGTCTCTGAAAAATTCATGGATAGAATTTTCGTTAAATTTCTTAAAGGTGCGGGAATTATCCTGTCAAACAAGAACTTGTGTGATAAGTTTCCTTTTTTTATTTATCAAGTGAAAACATCTTTAGAATGGGGCTGATTTGAAAAACGACAGTTCTCTCGAATAAAATTATAAACAATTTTCTAATCTTTTATTATTTTTACGACGATTATTAAATGTTTAACATTTGAATAATTTATTTTTCATTTAAGATATTAAATATTATTCTAACAATATTCATAAACTAATTATAAAATTAAATGTAAATTTTTATAGTTTTATATAAAAAAAGCAACGCCTGTAGAAATGCAACCCTCCAGACACACTTTGAAAATACTGCTTGCGAGCGCCATCTCCTGAGACGGAATTTTTTTGCACTCCAAACTGTTTATACACACGTATATGACGGGTTGCCTATCTTTCGGGCAGAAAAAACATTCCGTCCCAGGGTTGCATCTTTACAGGCGCACATTTTCATATAATTATTAAATAAATAATTACAAATAGAGTAAAAATAACCTTATAATTTAGAATTTATAATTAATAATATATTTTTCTGAGATTTGTTTTATTATATAGGATTGAAGGAATAGTTTATAATTAAAATATAAAATAATAAACAAACCTTATATTAACCGGATGCTGAACTGGTCTTTCCCAATCCGTGTATTCGTTAATAATTGTTGCTAAAATTTCTGGTTGATGATAGGTATAAGTATTGCGTACGAATTCACGAAGGATTTTGGTTCTTCTGTCAGCTTCAATACCGTACTGAGCGTCATCCGCGGTTAATGAAAAATACGCTTCTGAACGTACAACACCTACCATCAAATCGTACCTGTAAAAAAAGAAAAGAAAAACAACAAACTACAATGAATATTAAAATATAAATAATATATATATATATATATTTTAAATATAAATTATAACAAATGTACAGGTGTGGAATATACGTTTAGTGTATAACTTAAATATTTATAAATAACTTTTAACAATTTTGTTTCATTTATAACAGAACGTTGAACAATCGTCGAAAGTGTTTCATTTTTACAAAGATACTTTTTTTCAAACAACTAACTTAAGTGAATGTATGTATGTGTGTTTGTGTGTGTGCGTGTACACACGTTTGAGATTGTTATTTTCTCTTTTAAATAATAATAATAATAATAACATTAATAATAATGAAAAAGGGTGAAAAACAAAAGTGTGTTAATTAGTTCGAACTACGAAGCCGTACACGTAGGTTTTTGTCGTTGGATTATGAAAAATAAAAAAATAAAACAAACGTACGAAAAAGGGGGGATTAAAAAAATAATACCAAAAAAAAAAAAAATAAAAAGAAGCATGAGAAAAAAGAAAATTTGGTACATTTTGAACGTGATTACGTTCGTTAAACGACCAAATTAAGAAACGAGCTTACTTCAGAAAGGAGAATGGCGAAGAGGTACTACTTTGCATTGCGATAATTTAACATTCATCCTTATGCGGCCAGCCACTTAGGTGGCAATTCAGTAACATTAACGAGTGTCTTCGTATTATGAGGTAAAAGTCAAAGGTTGCCAAGTAACATTTCCGCCACAATTCTTCTCTTTTTTTTTTTCTTTTACATTTTTTTTTTTTTGTTAAAGGATTCAAAACGAATTATTATTATCCTACAGGTTTTTATCTTACGTTAATTTGCACTTTGTTTTATTAAACAAATTAAAAAGTGACATCTTTTAACAAAACACAAATTTCAAATATGATCCTTGTTATAATTATTTTTTTTTTTATTATTAAAAAAAAATTGTTAACTAAATTTCAATTAAATGTTAAATACAATAGACACTTAATTGGATTTTTAATACAAAATGGGTTGAAAATGTTCCTGTTTGATCATTGGAATTAATTGACATTTCCTTTTTTTTTTACAACCTAATTATATTTAAAAAAATATTACATTTATTATTAAAATTAAACCAGGAACTTTTTCTAATTGTAGAATATTTAATAAAATTGGTAATACAAAATGGGTTGAAAATGTTCCTGTTTGATCATAGGAATTAATTGACATTTCCCTTTCTTTTACAACTTAATTATATTTTTAAATAAATAATACATTAATTATATTAAAATCAACCCAGAACCCAATCCCCTATTTTCTAACTGTACAACATTTAATAAAATATTATACATAAAAGTATTAAAGAAAGAAAAATGTCGAGTTAATCGATGGAGGCTTGGGATGGCAAAAATTTGCCTTTCAGTTTTATGGATTAGATCGAAATGATGAAAGGGGAGACAAAAAAAGGGTGGTACCTTGAAAGCTTTGCTATGACATCTTTTCTCAATAAAATGTTGTTCAACGTGTTTATCGTATCCACTTGTAAAGTGAAGTCTTGATCCTCGGGATCACCTGGATCGATGACAACGCCGTCTATGCTTGGTCCAAAGGCTGGGGCAAATTCCAGACCCTTCACAGGGACCGATATCAAAGTGTTCAATGGTACGTCCCTGAGACATCGTAAAAGCGCTTGTGGATCACCAGCAACCTGTCGAAAAGGATTTCTCTTTGTTTTTATCAAACTTTTTCAGTCGGAAAGGACACATCGCTTTTTATGCAATTTTCAGAATCTCTCTCTCTCTCTCTCTCTTTCTCTCTCTTTTTCACCATTTTTTTTTGTTTTTTTCGTAAAAAAAACTTTCCACTGCGATGATGGACGCTGAACGAAATTTAGGACGAGCTTAAATTCGTACGTAGCTTTTATATATATATATAAAAAAAAAAGGAAAAAAGAAGAAAAAAAGGATCTAAAAATAACATTGAATTTCTTTTTTTCTTTTCTTGTATTAGTAAATAATTTTCTACAGGTTTGATAAATCATTGAATTATTTAGAAATGTTTTTATTTCAAAATTGTTGCAAAATATTCATCTTAATATTTGACAACTTTTTTTTTTCACATTTGAAACTTTAAAATTAATAAAAAAAGAAAAATACTTTGATTTAAGTGAAAATAATATCACGTCGCGTATAATATTGATTCGTACTACTTAAAAAGAAAATTAAAAGCTTATACAATTGAGATAATATATTTTACGTAATGTTTTTGTTATATTTGTTTATAAAAAATGATTTCTTTTTTTTTTTTAGTTTTGATTACTTTCTATTTCTACGTTCTTGTATTTAAGTTCTTTTTTTCTTTTTTAAATTAATTACTCGCATCTCTCCAAATTTTCACTGAACTTACAACAGTTCAAGACTTAACGTTGAAAATCTGTGTCATCGTTGTGTCTGTGTATAAATGAATGTATGTGTGTATTTAAAGCAACGACGAATCAAGTCCAAGTATTAACCAAATTTATTTGACCCTTCAAAAATCAAATTAGATCTAGAAAAAAAAGTTTGAGCAAACAAATGTTTCAGAAAAAAAGAAAAAGAATTCATTTTCTACACAGCTACGATTATTAACTAAATTTAGAAAAAAAAAAATAACTTTGTAGACGTTCAGAGAGAGAGAGAGAGAGAGAGGGGGGGGAGGGGATGGTTCCATTTTAGGGTTTTATCAAAGCTTAATCCGCTACTGGTGTAAAGAAAAAGTATCAGAGTGTGTGTGTCGATGAACAAAAATGTTGAAACTAGGGCGTCGAAAAAAAGAAAACAAAACACGAAGAAAAAAAAAATAGACTCGAAAACTCAGAGAGTAGGACTACTACTACCACCACCTTTATAAATCTTTGTAAGGGATGCAACAACAAGTAAGGGTTATACACACCTAGGTGAAAAGTAAGTACGCTAGTGTAATTTCCAAGAGACTGGCAAATATTGGCCCTTCGAATTGGAGAAAAATTTTTCCTCCTAAACTTCGAGTTTTCGGATGTTTTCTGACCGGAAGGAGAACTTATTTACGAGAATGAAAAAAAAAAAAAAACGCGAAGGTTTTTCTCGTGCATGCAAGATGACCGTTTTCATGAGATATTTTTCTTTTTTTTTTTTTTTTTACTACGAATACAAAAAAAAAATGCACTCGAATCTTCCTTCGTGTGTGCGATTAGCAAAGTATGGAAAAGTAAAAAAGAAAACTGAACGTCATTTTTTTATTTATTATTATTATTATAACTTTAATGATTTGACTTGATTTGTCAGAATGATTTTTTTTTTGAATGAGAAAATTTCTTGTGTTGAGTATTCATAGGCAGTTGTGTGTTCAGTGATAGAATTTAAAATAAACACCCTGTAGAACAAAATATAATATCGAATTTTTACTTAGGAATAAAGTCACTTATATGTTATATTTAATATTTTAAAATGTATTATTGTTTTTTTTTTTTTTTTAGATATTTTTCAATATTTTATAGGTTGGTATGAAAGGTAGAATTTCTAAAAATTCAATAAATGCCAACAACAAAATATGTTCCTTTAGTCACCGTATTTAAAATCAAATTGGAATTAGGAATAATTCGAGTTTGATTTTTTCGAATAAAAGTGTTCAGCGATCAAATTAAAAGTGTACAATTGTTTTTGAAATATTTTAAAAAATATTTTCTAGRTTGGTACGAGAGATAGAATTCTCTAAAAAATTCAATAAACACAAACAAAAAGTCGGTTTTCTCAGTCACAATATTTAAAATCAAAATGAAATTAAGAATAATTCGTGTTTGATTTTTGGAATAAAAAGGTGAAAGGTTATATTTTTCTGAAATACGAGAATGAGAGAATGAGAGAGTGGGAATGAGGGAGTGAGTGAGAGAGGGTTGGAGGGTTGGAGGGTTGGAGGGTTGAGATGAGAGATCGTCATCGAGATAGAATTTTGGTGTGCGAAGGTTGGACTATGCCGACATTCGATTGCGGCAAACCTCCGTCTACGTCAAGTTGGATTTCCAGGGGCAATTACCGAGACGGCGTTAAAGCAATTCATTTGCGTACACTCGAATTAAAGTCAATCGGCAACTGTGGCGTTCAGATACTAACTGAATTTCACCGATCGTGATCGTATAAGGAAAGGGTCACCACCCATGGTCTACTCAACCAATTCAAAACCATTTTAGTTTACCTTTATGCATCATATTTTAGTTCACAAAATATGTTGCGTGAAAAAGTTTGTGCTGATTTTGACAAAAGATTGAATCTCAACACATATAATATTTATTTAATAAATTATTTATAAGTGTTCATTCTGTTGCACAAAATTATTTCTCCATCTTTAGGGGTAACTTCCAAATTGGTAAATTGRTAAATTGGTAAAAAAGAACTTGATGCAACTTACTGAAAATCGGCACGAAACTTTTCAGATAAACCAACACTATATATATATATTATTTTTTATTAAAATATTAAATAAAATATATATATATTCTATTAAAGGGGGTTCTAAGTTTAATTAATTCGTCAATATATAATTTTGAAACGTTATTATACGTGCATATTCATTTATTATTTTCCTGAGATATTATTTATGTTTGTATTTTATTTTTAAATTATTACTTCATAATTTAACATTAAACGAGAATATCATTTTCATCGAATTATATTATTGTAAAACAACGTTAAAATTGATGAGGTATAGAAAATGAAAACAAAATAATATATCAAATATGGTTTTATTTTTTTAACATATATTTTCCAATGAAGTAATAGTATGGTTCAAAATTGTTTTATTTTCGATATTTAAACAACAAAAACAAAAAATTCAAAGAAGAAACAAAGTTCATTTTCTTTTGCTTGTATTTATTAAAAAATGCAAAAGAAGAAGTGGGTAGTACTCACCGACGAGCAATTCAGATGTTTGGCAACTTGCATAGCGTAATTAGCAGCCCCTCTTACTAGCGCCCAGGGCGAGAGAGCGCTACCTGACATCAAAACTCCACGATGAAAAAGGAGCCCTGTTTGTGTATATTTTCAAAACATATGTATTATATTATAACCAGTTTTTTTGTTTTTGTTATATGGTATTATTCGTCAAATTTTTTTTAAATATACATCACATTATAATATCATCTTTTATATAAAACAACAAGTAAACACACTGGGTAAGATTTTATTCAATCTCAGATACCAAAATTACAAATTAAAAATACTATGAGTGTTTTTTTTCTTTACACTAACATATCAATGTAGAAAAATTGATAAGTGTTGTGTTAATTATTTCATTTGATGGTTTGATTGATTTGAACTAATATTTTTTTAAAGTGTGTGTGCTATGTTAATTTGAATAACAAACTCACCCTGTATATTTTAATTCTAGTTATTGGTTTTAGATAAATTAAATATTAAATTAAATATTTCATATATATAATAATATAAATATAAGATATTTAATTAATTTATTTTTAATGTCAATTGTTAATTTAAATAACAACTCGTTTCCTTTATTTTTTCCTTCTAATTCTTACACAAATTTGTTTGTCTTTTTTTTTAGATTATTTCTGAATTTTGTTATTCAATATCTGTTAATGGATGTGAATGTCGATTAAGAACGAGTACTTGGTGAACATTGTTGAACGTTAAAAAGCGTATAGATCCCATATACCATAGATCGAAAGAATAAATTGTCTGTTAATGGCCCATCCGTCGGTTTTTATCGTCAATTGCTTACGCATGATATCGATATAGAGACTATCGATTTGTTCACACGAATACCAATATACATTTACATATATATATATATATATATATATCATCAATAAGAGGAATGACACATACACACATATATATAGACACACATTACACAAAGTTGCTTTTAATTATTCGTATTACATTTGCGTGCTAACCGATATATTCGTTGCCTTCGAACGATTCTCCCAGACTCTAATATTCATAACACCATTACAATAATTACGATCGATGATACGCCATTAACATTTTCACATTTATCCATTTTAATAATAATTCAAATCTAGGATTTCTATTATACAACTTATGTCCAAAACTATTAACCCATTACTCCTTACAATATCAAAATACAGCAAAAAACTAATCAATGAAATTAATTGTAACAATGATAAGTATTCCATACTAAAATTATTTTTACAACAATTTTATATCAATTATTATTAATTTCAAATAAAAAATAGTGTGAAGAACAAGGTAGATTCTGAAGTTGCAGATATTAATAAAAAAAAAAAAGACATTGTAAAATGTGTCCCCCTCCCCAAAAATAGGGTCCATTTGTGAGTAATGGGATTGAAGTATTATTTTAAGTTAAATGTCAAAGAAGATATGAATTTGAAAATAGATGCAATTGAATTCTGACGATCTATTTGGATCATTTTCAATTAATCGTGATAGAAAAAGGTGTTTTTTTTTTATTTTTTTTTTTATTAGTAATTACTTACCGTCAGGTACAGCCTGACTAGTCATGAGAAAATTGACGCATGCAGCACCAGTACCATGGCCCACTAACGTCACGTTTCCAGGATCACCCCCAAAATAGCCTATGTTCTCCTGTACCCAGTGTAACGCTGCGATTTGATCCATTAGCCCGTAATTTGCCGGCGACCGTAAGTGCGAATCTGTGTTGGCATTTAGAAAGCCTGTAATCAAAACAAACCGGCTTACGGTTAGTCCACTTCGTATAAGCGTATTCGTAGCTCGGTATAACCTCTTTACCATCATCCCACAGTTAAATCATCCATGAATTAACATTGCACAATTGTCAGAAAATTATTACTTACTATTTGATTAAATGATATTGCTATTTCAATTTCAATCAAATATCGATGAATATTATTTAACCATTTCATCAATACCAAATTCGTATATTATTTTAACAGTAATTTGTTTCAAACCACGACAAACATGATTATGTAGATTATTGTAACAGTTTACAATCAATTATTTAATTATTTATGTACGTAAAATTTTGTAATAATTGTTTTTCTGCCTGAACGATAGGCAACCCGTCATACACGCGTGTATGAACAGTTTTGACTGGAAAAAAATTCCGTCTCGGTAGATGTCGCTCGTAAGCAACATTTTCAAAGTGTGTCTGGAGGGTTGCATACAAACAGGCGCCGCACATTTTTATTAATTCAATGAATAATTACAAATTAAAAATACAAATAATATTAGAATAATAAATTATCCTCGAAATTTGTTCATTTGAAGATTTCACTTTTAATTTGTGTGATATGCACACATGTTTTTATTTAATAATTTGGTTTAATACACATTTGTTAGAAATAACATAATTACATTTAACATAAAAAGAATAATCGTATTTTTGTGAGAGTTAGTAAAAATTTTTCTATGTGAAATGCAAGAAAAATCTTGTCTTTTGAAATGTATAAGAAATATATTTCAAATCTCAGTATTGTTTCTTCGTTCAATAACGTTTCTATATTCCTGTTTATCTCACGAATCGTGTTTCTACAAAAATATACAAGCATTGGTGCTGATCACTTATTCAGAATTTATAAGTTATCAGCTGCTTGCATGTATCTCTCTTTCTCTCTCTAGTTTTCCCCTAGGTTGCAGTAAAAAAGAAAAAAAAAATAATAATTTAACAAGTATTTGTTCTACATTTTTGGTTTTGTTTATAAAATAAATTGTGATATTTCTTTTTTTTTTTTTTTCGTTTACGAGTTTCTAGTCAAATGGCAGCTGTGGGGTTGATATTAGAACAATTTCTTTTTCGTTTTCTTCAGTTGCAAGAGAATGAAGTTGAATTGTTTTTATATGGAAAAAAGAGAGTTGAGAATAAATAAAAAAACAAAAAACAAAAAATATAAAAACTAGAAAGAAGTCATAGAGAGGAATGTAAAAACAATAGGTCACATTCAATTTGATATTCCACATGCGACATATCTGTCATGGCACGTTACTGTCTTATTTTCTATTCTTCCCGTTATTTTCCTAGAAAAAAAAAAAAAAAGAAAAAAAGAAAAATAAAGAAAAGGAAAAAAAAATTGCTGAAGCTTTCTCACTTAAATTTTCAATTTAAGTTTTTCCACTAAAGCGAGACTACCAACAGAAAATATATATATATATATATATACAGGGTTTTTTGAAGGTAGGATGGATATCTGCTTTTCCAACTAAAAAGAGAAAACGCGTCTCGCTTTGCTATTTGCTTTTGAGGAGTAACATTTCGATGCTATGCATTTCTACTACTAACTTTGTTTTATTTTTTTTTTTTTTATCAATCGATAAACAACAAGACAAACATTTTGTATTTTATCGCAGAAAAGAACAAAAAGGGATACTCAAATTTGAATTAGAAATAAAGATAGTTGACGTATTAAATAAATACGAATGAATTTCAGCAATGTAGATAAAAATATATTATTTATTATAGATAGAAGATACAAGATAGTATTTTGTAGGATAGATAGATAGTTTATATTTTTATGTAATTCCATAAAATGAGAATAACAGGATATTGAAATAAAGATGGATGGTGTTATACACCATGATAAACTTTAGTTCTTTCGTTCGAGAAGATCGAAGATCGAGTAGTTTTCGCATAAATAAAAAGTAAAGTATATTTTTTATTATTAGTTTTACAAAAAAAAAAAAATATAAAAAAAGACCAATGAAGTATATACGTAAGTACCCATAATTATAAAAGTGGTTCTAAGTTAAAATATCTTTTGGTTAAATTGTAACTTATGATACAAAATAATGTCATGTTTCTCAATTGTTCAACTTTGGTAATTTTTTAAACATATTTATATTTAATTTAAAGCTATAAAACCTATATGGTCTTTTTAAGTAAGTATTAAAGAAGTCTCAAAAAAATGTTGAAGTAAATCTATGCAATAGTTTCTTTTTTATAACAATTTTTCTTGTCTGGGTCCAGAGGACCCGGGTGTGGTAAGCGTATGTGTACACAGAGAGGTATGATAAGCAAGGGTTAATTATGTTAAACAAAATACACTTAAGTTGTGTAATTTTTTTTGTATTATAAGATTAAATTAATATTTTAGATAATATTGAAATGAACAAAACATTATTAAACAATTAAGTTTTAACAATAACATTGAATGAATTTCGTTTAGAAATAATGTGGTGTTGAATTAACTGATAAACACATTTTTTTGTTTTCGTTATCATATATATATTCCTGTAAATATCTTTAGAAGGATATAATAAGCACTTACCGAGAATTCCTAGTCTGTAGTTTATGGTAACTACAACAACACCACCATAACTCGCCAAGACGCTACCATCGTAAGGATTGCCGCTGCTCCACTCGTAGCTTTCACCATGAACGAACACGATCACAGGATATCTCCTTCCACCACCATCCCTTGCACCGGCTGCGAACGATAAAATTATCTTATGATCGATCGACGTATATTACGTATATTTCTTAACATATACATCTATTCTATACTTACATAAACTTACATATATACACACAAGAGATATGCATAAACGAAAGACTTTTGACAGCTTATGTTTAAGGTCTTTTAAATTTATCTTTTTTTTTTTTGTATTATTTCAATATTTTTTGATCATGTGTCTCATATTTTGTCGATTAATATTTTAATGTGTTAACTGTATAAATCAATTGCCTTAATGTGTGTGCAATTATTTTTTTTTTTAAATATTAACGAATTTCACATAAAATTATTTACACTAAATTTTTGGTACTTTTAAACTTGTGGATACTTATTTATTTATATTTTGTGGCTTAATATTTTAACGTATTAATTATATAAATTAATTGCATAATGTGTGTGCAATTATTTTTAAAAATATTAACGAATAATATTTTTATATTAATATTTTAATATAAAATTATTTACTAAATTTTTGGTACTTTCAAACTTGCAAATGCTTTTATTTATATTTTTTAGCTTAACATTTTAACGTTTGAATTATATAAATTAATTGCATAATGTGTGTGCAATTATTTTTAAAAATATTAACGAATTTCATATAAAATAATTTACACAAAATTGTTGATACTTTAAAGCTTGTTTGTGAATACTTTTATCTATAAATAATAAAATACGAGGATTACTTTTAAAACCCAAAGGTTTTGGTAGTTAAAAAAAGGACTTTTTATTATTTTTACAAAATTCTTTCAAAATATTATTTATGCGAAGTGAATATTATGATACGTTTCGTGTTTACTTTTACAACGTTTATCCTCGCGTTAAAGGCATTTTCCCATTTTTAGTTTAATCTCTGTGTATTTTCAGAACAGCTAAGGTAAATTTCAAATGCATAAAACTAGTTTTAGTTTACGTGAGAAAGAGAGAGAGAGAGAGAGAGAGAGAGGTGTGTACATATTAATTTTGCGTGTAATTTTCGAAGTCTCCAAAAATAACCCAGTGGCACGTACTTCGATATGTGAAAAAAAATATTCCTTAAATGTAATAAAATTATTAAATTAATTTATAAAAAATAATCATTAAAATATATATCATATTTTCACATTGAAAAAGAATAGAAAAGAAAGGAAATAAATGTTAGCGATTATAATTCAGAATTTCCAACAATATAATAATAATAATAATAATAATAATAATAATAATAATAATAAGGGATGAATATATATTTCAAAGTATGGGGTAGATAGGAAGGAAAATAAAGAAGAAAAGAAAAGAAAAGAATAGAATAGAATAGAAAAGAAAAGAAAAGAAAAGGAATGAGAAGGAAAACTACAATGATGACCAATCAATAATGCTAATTAATAAAAACGGGGGATGGTGGGGGTGGGGGGGGTTGATCTTCTAATGAGATGAAAAAAAAAACTAAGAAAAAAATTTGGACATATTTTAATTTGTAACAAAATGAAACGATGATCGTTAGACGAGGAGAATGAAAATTTCGATCGTTCGTTCGTTCGTTCGTTCGAAATTTAAGATAAAGATAGATAGATAGATAGATAGATAGATAGATAAATAGATAAAGGAGAGGAAAACGAGAGGATACATTATTTCGACGTCGAATAAATTTACAAGGCTGATGTCAATATTTGACGCAGAGAGTGTAAACAATTTTGCTCGTGACAACGAGATTCGATGGACTTTACATATTCATAAAGCGACCACCTATGGACAGATAGCGAGATATCTATGCGTGTGTATATGTAAAACGTTGCATACGTATGTATGTGAATATTCACGGACTTAGATTGTTCATATTTTTGGGATTGGTATTCCTATATTGTAGATTGCAACATACATGCATGTATTAGTTATGTATTCCTGCATTTCTATATATATGTATAATATACTAGGGGTGCCCCACCACACGTTGCTGTAGCTCACAATCAGTCCAATACACACGTATTTAAGTCAACGAATTACTTTATACCACCATCTGTTAGAATCTTATCGAATTAACCGAGACAATCATGACTCTTTGTTAATAAACAAATAATTGCGATTATAAATTGAGATATAAACTATTCTATCTTTCAAGTTGAATGAAACTGCATACAGTGTGTGTAAAATTTTATTCAAATCGGTTCACTAGTTTAAGAGTTCATTGCGGACAAACAACGTGACACACGTAATTTATATATATTAAGAAGATAAGATATTCTTTAGTATACAGAATGATGCGATAATTCATATGAATGTATGTTTTATCTTTGTTTTTATTTTTAATATTTTTAATATGAAATTATTTGCTTTTGGGGGTTTAATATTAGATAACAATATATATATATGTATGAAATGAAAAGTTATCTCATTCGTGTAATATTTATCGACTTATTCTACACACGTCGCTTTTTTCTAGACCACGTTTCTCTACGTAATATTTCTTTTCTTATTATTTATACGAGAAAGAGGAAAAGATATATATATAGAGAGAGAGAGATAGAGATAGAGAGAGAGAGAGAGAGAGAGAGAGAGAGGAAAGTGTATACACTCATATATTTGTAACTTTTCGTTGTAGGATGATATAAACGGGCGTTAACATGTATCATCTTTCGCATGAAAAGAATTATACGAGTAACCATGAACACAGTTTTTATTATTAAGTTAGAAAAATACATATTATGTCATTTTCTAATGTTACGTATCATCTTTTTCTGTTTCTAAAAACAACAGATAATTACCTGTCTATATTTATTGATAAAAAAAAAAACAAAATGAAAAGAAAACAAAATTAGACAGATTTGCAATTTATTCAAAGTGTCAAATTTATTGATAAAACAAAAATAAAAAAAAATAGGCAATTTGCAACGAATAGAAAAGTCAACAACCCTTTCTTAATTCGCAGTGTCATATTTATTAGTAAAAAAAATGAGAAAGAAACTAAACAAATTGCAACGAAATAGAAAAGTCAATAATTCTTTTCTTAATTCGCATATTCTTTTTCCTTTTTTTTTTTTTTTTTTTTTAAAGATTTTCGATAAGATTAGAAAAGATTTGTAAGAGTTTAGCAAAAGCATAGAAAACTCGTGTTCCACTTTCTTATCATAATTGTCTATCGTTTGAAACCTTTATGATCTGCAAATGCCATCCAATCTTTGTACGATTACTCTTGCAAAAGATAGATTGAACGAATTAAGGGAACACGAATGGGTTTTCTTAGCAAGCTCTTTTCCCTTTATCTCTATATTTACTTCTTCAATTCGGCACATATGGTTTAGCAAAAGCTATGCGAATAGCATAAATTTAATAGTCAATTCAAAAGAGAAGAAGAGACCAACTAACCTTCATCAACCAGTTTGACTTTCTCTCTCTCTTTCTCTCTCTCTTTCATTTACATTTACTGTCACCTATGAAAATGTAACTTCACTTGTGTCACATTCCTATTGATGTTACCATCATTTATCATTTTATTAACAAATTATATTCGAATTTTTGATTTATTCACTTGCAAACCTTTTTTTTATTTATATTCAATCGTCCTTCAATTTCATTTTTTATTTTCTTTTTGTTGTTGTTGTTGTTGTTTTCACTTTCATTCATTTTTATTTTATTTTTCCCCTTTTTCTCTCTCTATCTTTCTGTCAATTATTTATATCCATCAGGATTTAACACAAAAAACAAATACAAACTGGTGATGATTTGTTTTTTTGATACGCTATTGCATAAAACGTCATTTCATTAAAATGTCACATTATATCATGTTACTTCAATGCATCAATGTAAATATAATAATACAGAAGTAAAATAGGAAGCATACACACACATACACACGTTCAATAAAGTGTACTTTCTATCAATACAAATAAAAGCAGATACACATACATGTATACATCTAATTCTAAAACTTAACATGGTTTACAGATTTGGAATGTATTTGGCATTGAATGAAACTCATTGAAGAAAGCGTCGACAGAAAATGTTTGTAACGTTCATAGAAAGAAGGAATGAAAGAAAGTTGAGACTTAAAAAAGAATAAAAAAAAGAAAAAGAAAAAAAACCACCCCCCTGAAGAAGGTCCAGTTTGCTCTCTGACCACGTTCCATTTATCGTTAAGGTAGGATACACCTATGCATGCAGGTGAAATAACACAAGAATCTCTTTGTATGTATGGATACATGTATATATGTATATGTATGTCCTTCTATGCGTTTGTATATGCGTTTTCTATCATTTTGTTCCTCTCTCTCTCTCTCTCTCTCTCTCTTTCTTTCTCTGTCTATAGTGTACACAATTCTATGGTATACGTTCTTGGCTTCGGCCCGGATGCAGCTAATCCATTAAGTCTTGTATATCTACGGAATACGACTGCGTCGATCGATTTTCTTTCCCTCTCTTCACTTTTTCTTTATTTCTTCTTCTCTTTCTCTTTCTCTCTTTCCTTTCATTTTCTCGCCGCATTCGTTCATTGCGTCAATAACGAGTTGCTTTGGATCGATCGACCAACCAACCCAAACCAACCAACCAAACCAAACCAAACTACTAAACCAAACCGATCCGACTACTTCTGAAAAGGTGCTACGAGACTTGGACCTTTTGTTTTTTTTAATCTTTTTATTATAGTTTGAAATTTTTCTAATGAAAATCATTTCTTTCTTTTCGATTGATTCATCAAATAAATTGCTGTAAATTTTGTGAAAAATATCTACATTTTTTTGAAGTAAAAATTGCTTCAAACTCTCGATCGATCTCATGTGTTACTATTTGTCGGTTTGCATCAACTGATGCCACCGAACCACCTAATATTTTCGATCAGATTACCAATTCAAGGTTTAAATATCTTGTAAGAGTATAGGGCAAATGGTTTCAAATGACATTTGAATTCTAATGATCTTTGATAGAGAAAGAAGAAACGTTTTGAATGCTAGAAAAAGATAGGACAGTTTGGTAAATTCCCTTCGGTAAACTAACGGGACCTAGGT